GTGAACACAACCACTGTCAAGGTGGCAGGCAACCAGATCCGATCTGCCTGCGGTTGGGAAGAGTGGACTCCTTCCCGAGAAGATGTGGCCATCTTGAAGGACGCCGAGCGCAATCTACGTGATGACCTTTGGCAAGACGGCAGAGAGGAGCCTCCAGGAGACTCAGAAGCTGCCAAGGCTGAGGACACAAAGGCGCCGGTTCCTCGACCTCTTCTCTTTGACAAGGACTACTGGCGGTACACGAATGAGTCCGCCATCCGTGTGCATGTCGAGCCGCGGCACGACCTCTTTGTGCCGGGCCCGAATGTTTGCGAGTTCGACTTGAACAACCTTGAGAACCAGCGTGTGACGAGAATGGCTGGACTTTCTGAGCCACTTCCGGTCGATGACTGGAGGGATCCTTCGTGTGATCAGACGTGGGAGGAACCTTGGACCGGAACAACAACCTTCAAGTGGCGTCCTGCTGCTCGAGACTCTCCTGGAGAACCTGTGCCGCAGCCACTTCCCCTACCGCTTCGGCTACCTACGTCTTCTACGCGGACGGCAACCCCTCACAGAAGAAGTGGGCAAGAACGCCAGCAAGTTCAGACGAACGTCCAGCAGGAGCAAGTTCAGACAAACGTTCAGCAGGAACAAGTTCAAACAAACGTCCAGCAGGGGGTCTTCAACCAGTATGTCGACAACAGACGTTTGACCATGACGGTGCCCACGACACCGGTACCACCGACGCCCAGGAACCGCAGCGGAAGGTCCCGAACACCAAGTCGAAGGGCTAGGTCTACTACACGTTCTCCTGTTGGCGTGGGTCCACAACGTGAAGCACTACAACCGGAGTCTTCAACTTCCGTGTTGCCTCAAGAAGCAGCGCCTCTTCTGACTCAAGATGAGCTGCCGTTCAGCCCAGGTGTTCCAGAGACGCCGCCGTTCAGTGCTGCTGCGCCGGGCACTCCTGACTACAACCACCTGCCGTCTGAACAGCAACGCGAGCTACCCGAGTTACAGACTGGCGCTGCGGCTTTACCTGGTGGATCCTACGACAACACGCACAACGAGCACAACGAAGCTTCGGCATACGAGGGTCCAGTCGGACCTGTGGAGATTGGCAACTTCGACGCCAACCAGTTTTCTTCGGCAGCCCCTGCCTCCACTTCTTCTTCTGTGTCGGAGCGTCCTTCGCGCGACACCGCAGCAGTGCAAGGCGGCGAACCACAAGCAAGGCAAGACGCAGCGCTACCACAAGCACCTCTTCTACCCCAAAAGCGGCCGGCAGATGCGCTCTACACGACAGGCGCCTACAAGTTCTTCTTTGACGACTTCGGCGAGGGCACTCTTGAGGATGAGCCTTTGGACGATTGCCTCCCGGCACCCTTCAAGCGCGACGGCTTCTACAACGCCTACCTCGCAAGTGCCGACCGCAAGCGGGAGGTGAAGGTCGCTAACATCGAGGCAGAACCTCAACGTCCAGACGAGAGCTCCGACGACGAGCACCTGACTGCCTCCAACGACCGCGTGCACTCGCGCCAAGAACTCAAGCAACTCGACAGAGAGATCCCCTGGAGGGAGATCATGAAGCTTCCGCGCCAGGCCATCGAAAAGTACATGGATGCTGTGAGGGCCGAGGAGGAGAACTGGATGCGCTGGGGCGGAGTTCGTCCACTGCTTCCAGACGAAGCAAGACGTGTGCTTCGTGACAAACTCCTGGCTCGTCGAATTCTTCGAAGCCGAGCAGCGTACCGTGACAAGAATCGCGGCCTTGGAGAGATCAAGGCAAAATGTCGGGTGGTGCTGATTGGGTGTCAGGATCCCGACATTTTCTCCTTGACCCGAGACAGCCCGACTCCTTCGAGGTTGTCCGAGGCTTTGGTCCTCTTGGTGGCTACTGCTGGAGCCAACGGCGAGTTCAACAACGAGAAGGCCCGTTGGTTTCTTTGGGTCTCAGATGCAAAATCGGCCTTCCTCCAAGGAGAAAGGAACACCGAGGAGCGAGCAGGCCCTCTGTACATGTACCCTCCTCGTGACGAACTCATGATCGAGACTGGCGCTTTTTCCTCAGAGCTCTATGAGGTTCTGGGCAACTGCTTCGGCCTTCCAGACGCGCCTCGTGTCTGGTATCAGAAGGTGCACAAGAAGTTGGTCGAGAAGGGCTTCAAGCAGCATTGCTTCGACAAGTGTTTGTATTACTACACGGACACTACCGGCCGACTGAGGGCCCTGATGATCGTGCACGTGGATGACTTTTTGTGCACATACCACCAGGACTTTGACTCGGACATTCTCCGGGACATGTTTGTCTGGGGTTCGGTCACAATCGTCGAGCTCGACTCCCGTGGCACGTACCGGGGCAAAGAGATCCGGAAGGTGGTCAAGGAAGACAAGTTCGTCTTCATGGTGACACAGACGGCCTTCATCGACGGCCTCACCTCCGGCTCGGTGCCTCGCGGCAGGGCTAAGACTGACGGAAGGCTGACGGTCAACGAGTGGAAGGAGTTCCGGAGTCTAGCAGGCTCCATACAATGGCTTGCCTCCCAGACTCGACCAGAGGTTGCGGCCGTCGTCAGCCTCTCCAATCGCGGAGGTGAGACCTCTGTCACCGACCTGAAGCGCTTGTACGAGACCGTAAACTACCTCAAGGAGACGAAGGGCCAAGGCTTGACTTATCAAGCCATTCCTGTAAGTCCTGCATCGATGGTGGTGACGTTTGCAGATTCTTCTTGGGCAAACGCGAGTCTCAAAAGCCAGTATGGCTTACTGGTCATGCTGTGCCCACCACAGGCTTCTGAGCAGACGGTCAAGGCTACGCTTTTGGACTGGAAGAGTGCGAGAAGCACTCGAGTCTGTCGCTCTACCCTAGCGGCCGAAGCATCGGCAGCAGACGAAGGCGCGGACCGCGCGGCTTTTGCAAACATGTGTTTGTCTGAGCTGCTTTACAACGAGCCCGCTTTCAAAGTTGGCTGCAAGCTGAACGGACGACATGTTACCGATGCCAAGAGCCTCTACGACTGCGTCGTGGCAGAGAATCCGAATGTCTCTGACAAGAGATCCCTCGTCAATATCCGCTCCATCCAGCAGACGGTTTCGCCGAAAGAGATGCATTGGGTGCCGACTCGTCTGATGTGGGCGGACGGTCTGACCAAGCTTGACAGTAGTTTGCTGCTACGTTTTGCCGAGTGGCTACGCGATCCCTACGTACAGCTAAGGGATGCCGGTGAGCCAACAAAGAATACTACGAGTGTGAAGAAGCACCTTTCGAACACGTGACTTTATCTGTCGCGGATCTTTGGCTCACCAGTCGTACGCTGAGCTGTTAGCTTTCGCTGTGAAAATGGGCGCCCTCTTTTGATGCATTGATTGCAGCAGTTCGTGAAGCAAGAGCTTCTGTCAGATAAATAAATCAAGCCCTGCTGTTCCGAGGTGTGTCGTATAAGTTTGCGACTATAGGGGTCTATAGGTTTGTGGGTATAGGGTCTATCTGGAGGGAGTAGACACCTATGGAACGATGGGATGCTGCATTGGGGGGGGGGGGGGGGTGGTATAGGTGGGGATAGGGTCTATGTATAGGGCCTAATAGGGGTGTATCGAGAAAGCGGCTAGTGCCTGTGTATTGGGTTCCATTGAGGACTCAAAGGGCTCGGATCATGGGTCCATCGACGCCTATGATAGGGGGCACTAGACCCATCTTCCCAATTCTCACCGTGGTCTTCGGTTTCGCGCCCCGATCATGGCACCCCGGAATTCAGTCCGTTCACCATGTATCTTTGCATACATCAGGCATACACGTGCAAACATACTGAAAAAGGAGGCCCGGTGTTGCGGGGATTTGTCATGGTGGGTCGTCCGCCTTGCATGCGCGTTCATGCAATATCATGTAAGCACGTTCTTTTGACCCGAATGCTTTTCGACTGGTTGATAGTTGTTGCCTTCATCTAACGCTGGAGGTTGGCGTGCCGCGCGTTGATCTTTTCGCAACTTCGGCTTGTCGTTCCGATCTTAGAAGAAAATCATATCCACGGAGCATCAAAGCGTCCGTCGGTTAGGATGGGCTGGTTCTTGGCGGCGTCGTACTCTTGTTCTGACGTTTCTGTGGCTGCCAGCAACACGGCCGGAGTTGCGAATGCTGCCAGTGCGTAGCAAGCGTTGGAGCCAGAGGAAATCATCTGAATCATCTGATTGACCTGATGTCGTCCGAAACCAGCTGGCGGACAATCATGAAACGTGTTGGTCCAGAGTCATGGTTTGGGGACTGGGCCGTGCCATATCAGTCTTGCAAGGATTGCGCGTAGTTCTTCTTCCGCGTGGCGCGTGCGTGCTTTCAGCCCGAAGCCGCCTGTTCCGAGACTTTGACAAGATGCTTGACGGCTTGGTGCAGTGTCATCTGAAGGTGATCCGCAGATACATTCGTCCGTACAGCACGCAACTTACAGCAGGAAAACTTGCGTGCAGTTCGACTCAATCCATACATACCATCATCAAGGGAAATCTAGGGAAACAGAAATTTCTCGGTTTCTGATTTTCTAGGTTTTCACAGAAAGAAGCCCATGTTGTAGTTCTTTGTCTATCAGGGGTACGGCGCAGTTGGCTGGATTAGGCAGATCATGCCAAAGTATGAAAGACGGAAGCAAAAAGCCGTAGCTGAACAGCCTTAATCCCAACCGAATGTCGACATTTTGTTGAGAGGCGTTGAGATCACAGCACAGGAAAACCCCTAAAAACAGAATGCGTCGTGAAACCGTAGCTTGACGCAACAAACACCCAACAAGAGGCCACAAACAGACAACATTCACGAGCTTTCCCGGCACAAAACTTCAGAACCACGAGCAGCAGACACTCTTGCAAACGGCCAAATGTGTAGGACGCGTGCACGCCAAACGTCGCATCGCGTATGGCGCATCTGAACTTTCCAGCCCCGTATCGAATTTGAGCATGCTTGCTTGATTGAACGCACAGTCATGTGGGGGTATTCTGCACTTTGCGCTGTTCAGAGTTGGAACTGCCTGCGCTAGGTGGTGCAGCGATGTGCAGATGTTGCATCATGGGAAAGCAAGCGTCGGCAGGCAGGCTGCAACCATCAAGTAGCCGTCTGCTTCTAGTCTACGAGTCGGTTGGACGTCTTGCGCAGGTCCTCAAAGAGTCCTTCCAGCCAGCAGTGGCCTACTTGATGTGCGATGCCCTTCCCTTGGTGTTTCTGGAGCTGCTTTGTGCTGGTTATTGGGATTGGTCATCGAGCAGCTGAGGTCGTCGTATTTCTGACTCGGGACCAGCAGCTGGACGCTGCAAATCATGAGCGGGTGTCAACACCACCATCTGTCAGGAGAAGCTCGTTTGCCGGAGAGCTTTGGAGGAGTCTACTCGCCATCACTTACCTGTTGTCTTCTGTCTCATGACTGGCCTCTGTTTAAAGTTTAATGGAATTTTGTCGCTCGCCTGGGCCTGGGCCTGACCCAAACGGGAGATTGCGTGTGTGAAGGTGCTGTTAGAAAAGGCTTCAGGGCTTTGAGAGGCTTTGCCCTGATAGATCAGGCACCCCAAATGTGAAAGTGCAAAACCAGAAAAACAAGCTGGGGTTGAAGGGCAGGTTGGGGCCGGGTGAGGCGGAGGGGGGGGGGGGCGGGTTGTGGGGTACCTGCTTTATGCTCTGCATACACCTACGGCCCGAGGCCTCGGCAGATGATTGTGTGTGGATGTTGATGTGGATTGGGTTCAAGGAGTGTGAGCAGTTCGCTCGCGCGGCAAATGCGAGAGTTGTGCCAGTCTGAGTGGCTGGCTCTTCACTTGTCCTCATGGCGGTTGCTCAAGTTGCTTCTACGCCTGATGTTTGTCATTGTCACGATTCATCGCCCTGTGGTCTGCTTTTCTGCTATGGGGCACTTCCTTGCTGCGCCAAGTCCAGCGCGCTAGCTCCAGCGCTGATCATCGTGCAGAACTGCTGCAGGCCTGCTTTCGTCCTTGTGATCGATGTTATAGGGAGTCAAAGGTGTCGGGAGCAGGGCTGGACATGATGCTTTGTCGCAGGCCCAGCGAGGGCCTCTTCGACCCAGACGCCAGCTCAGTCAAGTACCAGTAGCTAAGAGCATCATGGCCTTGCAGTGCAGCATGTTGGCAGCCGCGCCTTCTGCAGGAAATGTGCACAGAAGCCTTTCGCCGTGCCTGACACCCAGTACATCATCGCCAGAGTGAATGGCTGCATATGTTTTTCCTCGAGGGCGGAACATGCATGTCCACACGTAAGGCTCACTTCAGTGCAGGTCGTTGGCCGCTGGGCTTGTGCTCACTGTTAAATCTGAAGGGCAGAAATCTCACATGTGCTACTTGCTTTTGATCATGCTCTGAACACGCTCAGGAACTACGACGACCCTTTACAAGAGGGAGCTGGTGGTCAAGTAAGTTCTGCCATGGCCTCGAAGCAGTCCGAGAATGCACCCACACAACGTCATGGCTTGTTTGTTAAGGCAGCGGCGCAGTGGGCCGAGTATTTCAGGCCGGGGCGGTTGTGGGGGGGGACCAAACTCACATGGCTCAACTCGTGTGTGAGCTCAAGCTCAAGCTCACGACCCTTCTGCGGCCTGTCACAGCAAGTCGGAGGGGCTAAGCCGGGTGAAGTAACCCTGGTGTGAAGTTCAATGCATGTCAAAAGAAGCGTGCGCCTGCACCACATGGGTTGCAAGGAGTATTGACTGCTTCTGCTTGCCGGATGAGTGCGCATGTCGGCACATTCCGTTATCTGTGTTGGTGTTGCAAATGCGCATTAGTCATTAAGTGGGCCGACAGATTGTGCAAGGTACACCTTCTGTAAAAGAAGTGGCTTTGATGGCGAAGACGTGTGCAAGGCCAGCATGCTTTACAGGAAATAGAGGCCTTTCAGTTTACATGTAGAGGAAACAGAGGTTTTCCAATCAAGGTATGAATTCCTACACTGAAATCAGAGAGCTTCTGTGTTGATGCGACATGATAACAGAGACGATGCGGGTAATAACTGCAGTAGTAGTAAGTAAGTAAACAGGAGAACAGAAGAAAACACATAGAGAACAGCATGAAAGAACGAAACAACGAACACGAAGTTAGGAAACAAAGGAAGGAAAGGGCGTAAAGTGAGAGAATTGAGGCTTCCCTACGAAAAACAAGGGCCAAACTTGCTCTTTGCCCCATACAAGGCAGACCCCTCCTCACATGCACCAAGACGAGATCCACTGGATGCTTTCTTCCTTTCTGCCTTTCTTCCGTTCTTCCTTTCTTCCTTTCTTCCCTTCTTTCCTTCTTTCCTTCTTCCCTTCTTCCCTTCTTCCCTTCTTCCCTTCTTCCCTTCTTCCCTTCTTCCCCTTCTTCCTTTCTTCCTTTCTTCCTTTTCTTCCTTTTCTTCCTTTCTTCCTTTCTTCCTTTCTTCCTTTCTTCCTTTTCTTCCTTTCTTCCTTTCTTCCTTTCTTCCTTTCTTCCTTTCTTCCTTTCTTCCTGTCTTCCTTTCTTCCTTTCTTCAATGTTCTCCATGTCTTTCTTTATTGTTGTTGTTCCTAGGACAGCCTCTATTTCTTCTATTTATTGACTAGGGAATGCGCAACCTCAATCTTGTTTTTACTGCAAGCCTCTAAGTTTCCTGTGGGTTTTCGTAGACAACCCTCTATACCCACTATGTGTGTAAATCGAAAGGAACCTGTTGGAAAGGATTGGCTTGTGTTTTGATGCACGACCTCAATATTTGTTATCTATTCCCTCTGCAAGCTATTTCCTCGTTATGTTCATGGACAACATTCCGTTTACCTCTTGGAAAGGATTCGTGTGTGTTTTCACGCGGCAGAACTTGTTTATGACGCAAGCTTGCGCGGCTTAAACGCGCTTAAGAAAGGGGGAAACGGGGGAAGGCCCGCCCTCCATTTGCAAACACCATGCTCGCATGATGGGTTTGGAAAGGTTCGTATGTCTGCTACAGCAAGTGCACTTCATGGCATGATCATCTTTGTAAAGCAAGTTGGGCGGCTTGAAAAGAACACCTCAAGTGGGGGAGGGGGGGGGGGTGAGGGGAGCAGCCCGGATCCGTATATGTTCTACGGCAAGTCATCTTCTTACATGTTTTTTTCCTCACTTTTTTCCTCTATCTCCGGCTCACTGCTCTGGATACCGCGACTCCAGGAAGTGCTGGTGAAGCTGAAGGCCACAATGAAGCGACGATTGGAGGAGGCCCGATCGCGCCAGCTCCAGCATTTTGTATGTGATGACGACTGTGATTGCAGGGCATACCTGCTCGCATTGAAAATGGAGTTGGCCTCTCTCAGTTTCAATGGCCAGTGTCTCAGAACCCGTCGACTTGGATGCTGTGCCCATTATACTACACTTACCAGAGCCAGAGTCAGGTTCTCGGTCTTATCGTCCCTTTGTGGAATCATCAATGACCAGGTCTGTGCGACTTTTCTTCGTGTTTTGTTATGCTCTGCATGTTGACATGTGTCAACTGCTTGTTGCGCGCATCAGACCTTAGCAGCATCCTTATATAGCAGCCCAGCAGGAAACAGTCGCCATGTCCGCGATTTACATCCACGCCGGTGCAGCAGCTGGTGGTGTGAACGAGCTCAAGTCCGTCCTCCTCCAGATCATGCACCCAATGAAGCGACTCGGCTTAGCTAGCTTCCAGCGGCTTCCAGCAGCCAACACCTCGAACGTGTGAAATCAGTGGAGGCTTCCTCCCTGGCCATATCACCCGCGGTCTTTCTTTTCGGCCCACAGAGGGCCCTCTTGATCCTTAAGCTACTGACTTTGCAGTGTGCGTAAAATTGAGTCCGAGCCATAGATTCGAAGTGGGCGCTGTCAGTTGGCAGCGGAGCCTGCGTGGCTCTTGGCGGCGTGTGTGGCGTCGCAGCCGGCGGTCCCAGGGGGCCTGCTGTTTCCCTCCTCGCCTTCTAACCGATCAGCCGCGGGAAGGTGGTGACGTATCTGATCGAGCCCAGCCACGTCGACATCTACAAGAGCGAGTGAGTGAAGATGCCATCTACTTCGGAAGGACAGTCCTCAGGCGATCCTGGAGGATATGTCTACCGAGATAGAGATCCCCCACCTTCTTGGAACGGTTCCACTCCAGAGGTCTCTTTCAAGACCTGGCTTCGAGATCTTGAGCTGTGGGAGGCCACGACGGATATTCCCAAGGAGAAGAGGGCGATCAAGCTGGTTCAAGCTCTCACAGGGCCAGCAAGGGAGGCGGTGTCGTCTTTGACGCTGGCCGAGCTCCAGCATGCGGACGGCTACAAGACGGTGATGAAAGTGCTCAACGACAACTTTAAGCCGTATGTGGAGACAGCGTTGCCGAGGGCCATGGAGGGCGTGTTCTATGGCCAGGCTAGAGGTGCCAAGGAGTCCATCCCGGATTACCTGGTGCGCGCGTCGCATGCCCTGGCGGAGCTCAAAGCCGAGGGCGTGGACCTTCCGGCGAAGGCTGCCGGATACTTGCTGTTCCGGCAGGCGAACTTGGACAAAGAGCTGGAGTCCCGTGTGGTCACGTGGTTGGCTGGCGACTACACCAAGGATGTGGTGATCGCCAACCTAAGGCGACTTGACCGCATCAACTCGAGCAGCTCCGGGTCCAAGGCGATGCTCTGGACGGAGACTGAAGAGGGCGAAGGCCAGGAGGTGTACTACGAGAACCACGAGCACTATGGCGAGCCCGAGTTCTACCTGGAGGCGGAAGACGAAGAAGACGAGAACTACGTGTACCTAGAAGACGGCGAGCTGGACGCGGTGTACGAGGAAGGCGATGTCATGGAAGCCTTGGCGTCGTACCAACATGTTCGGCAGCAGCTCAAAGAACAGCAAAAGGGCCGGCAGTACTACCAGCCGAACCTCGGCAAGAAAGGGGGCAAGAAGCTCTTCAACAAGGACGGCAAGAACACCGGCAAGCAGAGCAGCAAGTCCTTCGGCAAAGGCGGCTCGGCATGGAAGGGGTCGCCTACGTCACGAAGAGTGCACATAGAGCAGCTCAAGCTTAGGACTCGATGCCGGGCTTGCGGAGAAGTCGGGCATTGGAGCAAGGAGTGTAGGCACCGAGCGGGGCCATCGCTGACAACCTCTTCGTCATCGTCGGGCCCGGGAGCAAGCCGAGGGTCCTTCTACTGGGCCGGCCGAACGGATGGCGGGTCTGGTGGAGCAAACACCTTCTTGTCCTTCGGCCAGTTCCTCAACGACAGGCCGGGCGAGTCGATGGCGGGCGAGCTCTTCGTGGGAGTGACTACGCAGGGATGCCACGGCCTGGTGGACACTGCGGCTCAGGAAGGCCTGGTGGGTCGTCCGGCCCTTCTTCGTTTGCTGGACCTTTTGAGGCCCCTAGGCCTAAAAGGCTGCTGGACGGACAAGGCCACCCAGGCACGCGGCATTGGAGGCGCAGCAAAAACAGTCGGCGTGTGCGAAGTTCCCATCGGCCTCGGTGGAGTTCCAGGAGTGCTTGAGCTGACAGTCGTAGCCGAAGACGTGCCATTGCTGTTGCCGGTTAGTCTCTTGAGGGCCTTGGGTTCAGTCATTGACCTAAGCAAAGACAAGATCACCTTCAGCAAAGTGAATGGAGAGTGCAACATGACGACTCTTCCCTCAGGGCACGCAGCTGTGGATGTGCTTGACTTTGGTCCTGAAGGTTGGGTGATGCCTTCCGCGTGTGCAGGGCGTCGTATGGAGTCCGACTTTCGCACTGGGCAGGTTTTTGGCTCGAGACCAAAGACTACAAGATCGAACAAGACTCTCAAGTCCGAGGCCTATGCTAGCTTCTCGTGCCCTGCAGCAGCAGCAGCAGGGGCGGCAGCGGAATCCATGGCAGCTAGTGCGGAATCCCGTCAGCCGGCCAAGGCTCGCCGTCCGAAACTGGCGGGTTTTGTTGGACAAACTCTGCTCGCTGCTGGCCTGGGGATACTGGCAAACCGTGGTGTCACCGTGGCTCTCTCTTCCCGGGCCAGAGTCGCAGCAGCAGCCCAGCCCTACGGATACCACTTCGCCAGCGACCTTGACTACGAGTTCGGCTACCAGCAGGGGCCAGATCTACAAGAACTACCTGGAAGGCGAGAGGCCCGAACAGCTGGCTTCGGTGAAAGGCGTGCCGACTCAAGAGATTGGCCGCTGTGCTCACCCAGCTCAGCAGCTCAAAGGAGGAGGCAATGGACACATGAACTGGTTCCACTGCAACCTGTGCAAGGCTCGATGGAAACTCAGCCCGAGAACAGCCGGAGCTTTGACCGGCCGACCAGTGGAGACCGTGAACCAGTCGAAGGAGAAGACCCTCAACCTGGCGGAGAACGCTCTGAAACAACAAGAGAAGCGAATGGCCCAGAAGCACCAGGTGGAGATGGGAAACCTGATGCAGCAGCTGGCGGACGAGCGCGCCAGGAGCGACGAGCTGCAGACTACGCTGGACTTGCGCGAGGGCGAGTACCTGGAGTTCGAGAGGGCGGTGGAGAACGTGACCGCAATGGAGGCTCACCTGTCCGAGATGGACCCGACTACCGCGAACCAGGTGCAGGCAATGGTCTCCGAGTTCAAGAGAGTTCAGCGCTACGAGCAGGAGACCCGACATCGAGCGAACACGCTGCCCTTGCGAGAAACCAAGAGCGACTGGGAGCAAGCCGTGGCCACGATGAAGCAAGCGGTGGACATGGTGAACCAGTTCTACGCGCGCATGATGACCCAAAGAACCCAAGTGGCGAAGCAACTGGCAGGAATGTGAACGTAGGCCAGAACGTCAGATCGTGGGATGGAACGCGAGTGTTGCAAAGTGCTACGCCTAACATGGTGCGTCGTTGGATGGCCAGGCCTCTTCCCTTCCTGGACGACTTTGTGGTGGTCTCCAAGAATGGTGTCCTGCAGCGAATGGACCGGCAGGACGTGGAGGGCCTGCACAGCCTGGAAGACGAGGAGGTCTATGTGGTGGTCAAAGAGCCCGAGCTGTACTTGGAGCACCAGAGCGACGAGACCAAGATCGACAAGGCGAAGTCTGATCAGATCCTGGACTACCTCGTGGGGGCTAGTGCCGGGGTTGACGCCATGACCATAGACCTAAAGGGCGTCAACCAGAATGCGGTGTGGAAGGACATCGAGAGCCAAGGTCCCAAAGTAATATACATGAACAAGGTGGCGTCGGAGCAGTCGTCGCTGGCTTGTCGCATCGCGAGACATCAGTGGAGGAAGGGCCGTGGCTTCGTAATCAGTGCCTTGGGGCCGCTGTCATCAGGCTTGAAGAACCTGAAGGAGGCCACTTCAGAAGGCACCGCGTCCTACCTGCTATACCGCAAGAAGTACCAGATCACAAACTTCAAGGACGCAGTCAAGTATGCCATGGCGAAGGGCAAGCCGCCCCGAGCGGAGGGGGCAATCATGGACTATAACCTCGAGTGCTTCCCCGGAGAGGTCGCAGAGCAGGACATCTTCGACGAGCTCGACCTTCGCCCGATGGACACAGTGGACGAACGTCCTGAAGACTCGGTCGTCCCGGTGGGTGAGCCTACAAGACAAGAAAAGGAGGCAGTGATGAAGCTGCATCGAAACTTGGGACACCCCAGCTTGGCGGATCTGGTGCGAACTCTGAAGGTGAGCCGAACACCAGACAGGATATGGCGTTGGGCGAAGGACAGCTTCAGATGTCCTACCTGCGCTGCCAGTAGAACTCCGAAGGCGCATAGGCCGGCGATGGTGCCCAGGTCGTACGCGCCCAACACCGTGGTCGCGATCGACCTCTTGCAGATGCCGAATTGGGATGCTTCCGGACAGAACTGGTACTTGAACATGATTTGCCTGGGCACCTCCTTCCAGATGGTGGAAAAGCTACGAAGCAAAGAGCCCGTGAGTGTGTGGGCGGCCTTTACCAGAACGTGGGGGCGCTTCTTAGGAATGCCACAGATCCTCCTTCTGGACCAAGGGCGAGAGTTCTTGGGCGAATTTCGAGACCGATGCGCGGAACTAGGCGTGCTTCTGCACGTTATTGGGGCCAGGGCGCCGCACCAGAACGGGCGCTGTGAAAGGCATGGCGGCCTCTTCAAGCAGATGATGGAAAAGGCGAAGTGGCAGAATCCTCCGTGCTCAGAGGATGACCTCAGGTTGCTGACACGTGAGGTGGAAGCAGCCAAAAATCGCCTCTTCAATCGCTCCGGCTTTTCTCCAGCTCAAAGGATGCTGGGGCAGACAGCGCGGACCAATGGGGAGCTCATGTCGGACGATGCCATTGACCCCGCGCTGGTGAACCACGGTGAGGAGGTGGAAAGAGTGTTGGCAGCGCGCAGGGCTGCCCAGAAGGCGTTCGTGGAGACCAACCTGTCCGAGGCGGCTAAGCACGCTCTCCGAGCCAGGAATCGCGTGCACCGAACCTTTCAGCCGGGAGAGATCGTCTACATTTGGCGGTCGTGGAAGGATAAAGGTGTGCTTAAGCCTAACTGGGTCGGGCCAGGCGTCGTTTTGATGCCTGAGGGAGCGAACTGCTACGTCAATGTGTTGGGCAGACTTTGGAAGGTCTGCAACGAGCACGTGCGGGAGGCCACGTCGGAGGAGGTTCGCGGAGTGGAAGCTGTGCATGAAGTGTTCCAAGATCTAAAGGAGCGCTTCAAGAAGTCGAGCAGTCGTTTAATCGAGGACCACACGGGCGACCCACTTCCACCAGGAGTTTCCCGAGGAGCCATAGTTCGCGAAGCTGGCGAAGATGAAGTGAGCGCAGAAGGCCTACATCGAGGGCTACCCCGAGTGAGGATTGACGAGCCGGAGACGCCCGTGGTGCCTATACCTATTCCGCCAGAAGAACTTCCCGATCCAGCGCAACTGCCAGAAACTCCAGTGCCAGAAGTCTCAGCAGAGCCAGCAAGGCAAGCATCAGCGCCGGAGCCCGAGGCAGAGATAGAGGTTCCCGAACTCCCCGTTCCTGAAGCTCCCGGTCGAGAAGAACGACTACGCGCAGCTGTGGACTCCGCGGTGCAGAGCCAGAGATTGGACGGTGTTCCCCCAAGAGCGCCAAGCAGGCTAGCAGAGGCAGAGAGTAGCGCCGGGTATGAGCCGGTGCGATCTTCCCTGAGAAGGCAGCAGGAGCCGGGCAACCCATACTCGTTCTTTGGCCAGGATGAGTTTGAGGAAGGACCGACGCCAGTTCCACCTCGGCGACAAAGCGAAGTGCAGCGTGACACCTGGGAGCTAAAGCCGGCCCTGGGCGTCCTGAGAAGGCATCACGTTCGCTGGCGCAGCGCGATGTGCACACCCTGGGAGACGACGAGGCTGCCAGTCAAGCTGGAAGATCTCACAGGAGAGAGGAAGACGATGGCGAAGATGAAAGATGGAAGCGTGCAAGAAATGGAGGACGATTGGAAGAGTTTGAAACCACAGCGAGATCTGAAGGCCAAATGGAAAGGCTTCACCGACTTCTATGTCACCAAGAAGGCCTTAAAGAACCTGAAGCATGTAACGCCGAAAGAGGTCCCCAACTTTGACGTGGAGACGACCGAAGCGTATACGTTCATGGTCCTCAATGCCGAGACCTTCGTCATGAAAAAGGTGGCGACGGATGAGGTAAGCGAGGCCGACATTCCCGAAGAGGAGTGGCCAGCCTGGCGACTACAAGACGCTGAAGAGTGGAGCAAAATAGAAAGTTCCGGCGCGATGAAGGTGCTGTCGGTGGAGGAGTCGAGAAGAGTCCTCAAGGAGCTGGAGTCGCAGGGCAAGCTGAACCGGGTGATCGGGTCAAGAATGGTCCGAAGGCTGAAGCCCGGGGAACAGATTGGCGAGACACCGTCAAAGAAGTCTCGCTTTTGCGTGCGAGGTGACATGGATCCCGATGCTCTGGACTTGGAAAGATACAGCCCGACGGTCACGACACAGAACTTGCAAGTGGTTTTGCAGCTGGCCGCAAGTATGAAGCTGAAGGGGTCCTGCGGGGACCTGAAAGCAGCCTTCACCCAGTCGGACCCTCTCGTGAGACCCGGCGGCAAGCTCTACGTGAGGCAGCCAAAAGGGGGTCTACCGAACATGGACCCAGAACAGATCATCGAAGTGGTGGCCGGCGTTTACGGGCTCATGGATGGTCCCATACATTGGCGCCAGACGCTGAAGAGCTACATCGTGAAGGACTTGAACTACAAGCAAAGCAGGCTAGACCCAACCATCTTCGTTAAATACTTAGAGGGCACCGTTGAAGGGATCATAGTGATAGAGATCGATGACTTGCTGTGCTTTGGCAACCGAGATCATGAAGTTCAGCTGGCAAAACTGCGCGAGCGCTTTAAATTCGGAAAATTCAAGCAGTTGATGCAGCTCTTGGATGGCACGACATTCAACGGGCGACGCATCAGACAACTGAGCGACTACACCGTCTGCATAGACATGGGCAAGTTCGTGTCCGAAAGAATGGCGCCAGTGAGTCTGGAAAAGGGACGCAGAGCTCACCCCGAGGCGGACGCGACGGAGGAAGAGAAGAACAAATTCAGAGGTGCCGTAGGATCTTTAGCGTGGGCCGCCAAGGAATGTCGTCCAGATGCCGCCGCTGGAGCCAGCATAATGGCATCCAAGTTGAGCACGCTCAAGATCAAGGACATTCTCGAGCTGAACCAGTGCATCAATAAGGTGCGCGCTTGGCCAGACCTCACCTTGCGCTACTTCCCAATAGAGTGCGAGGACCTGAGATGGGGCGTGGTCACGGATGCAAGCTTCACCAACTACAGCGACGGCTCCACCCAGGGGGCCTTGGGAGTCATAGCATTCCACAAGGACATGTTGCAGGGGCACGAAGCTACCTGCTCGCTGGTCTGGTGGAAGAGCGGAAAGCTGAGAAGAAAAGTGAACTCAACCTTGGCCGCCGAGACTCAATCGCTCAACAAAGGTCTAGGAGATCTTCTGTGGGCGAAAGCAATCTGGAATGACTTGATCCAGGAGAAGTTCAGCCTCGAAGTTTTCAAAGAGAACGCCAGAGCCCAGGCCGATTTGGTGCTGCAGAGTGCCAAGGCAGATCACACGCTCAAAGATTCGCTGACAGTTGTGGATGCGAAGTCGCTCTACGACAACCTCCGAAAGGAGGGTTCGCTGGCCCAAGACAAGTACACCGCGCTGGACTTGGCGATAGCTCGTGAGAGAATGGATGGCGTAGGCGCCGAAGTCCGATGGGTTGAGCATCAAGCCATGATTGTAGATGCCCTCACAAAGATTCAAGGCAACGCTGAGGCCCTAAAGAAGCTCTTAGAAAAAGGGACATACCAGTTAGTTGCCGAAACCGAAAGGCTTGAAGAGCGGGCTGAGCGCCGAGATGCCGGGACCGTGAAACATCGGTGAATGGCCAGAAAGAGTTTTGGGAGCTGTGAAATCAGTGGAGGCTTCCTCCCTGGCCATATCACCCGCGGTCTTTCTTTTCGGCCCACAGAGGGCCCTCTTGATCCTTAAGCTACTGACTTTGCAGTGTGCGTAAAATTGAGTCCGAGCCATAGATTCGAAGTGGGCGCTGTCAAACGGGTGTTTTCTGAGGGGGACTCCGTGTTCTTTGTTTGCTGATGCTTTTTTGGCACGCAGGCGGCCCGACGTTGTCGACCCACAAGACTTCCAGCTCAGGCACAGAACCAGGTTTTAAATGCCCTTTGCAACGAGGGCTTCATGGGTGAAGCAAGAATGGAGCAAGCCTGCAGGCTGGGCGTGGCCATAGGCATCATTGCCCGGTTTGCCGTTCGCCATGACCTGGCAGAAGATGAGATCCATCAGGCGACAACGTCACTAGCCTCGATGTAGACCAATCTTGAGTGCTCACCTTGAGCAAGGTGGTGAAGTATCTGTCCATGCTGTTCCCATGCGGTGCTATGGCCCCGCCAGCAGTTGAAAGAGCCGATGGCAGTATCCGACTCAGCGCTTCTGAAGTGCTGGTCAAACGACCAATCATAATGCGCAGCACAGGTCAGACAAACAGATGCAAACAGCCAGCTGAATGCAGCCACATGCGGGTGAGCGTGGGTGCATGGAGGCAAAGAGCCAGTTCATTGCGGCCAGAACCTTCTCTTCCACAAGGCCCAACTCCGCAGACCTAAGTTCAACACTTGTAGCTGGCGAATGGCGGCCTCAGGGCCTCCACCGTTCCAGCTGCCTAGCACTGGCCTGAGCGACAGATTATGGAACTGCGACGGGACAGGTGTGCGATAAAAAGGCCAGTGTGGTTCTGCCTCTTGAAACATGTCCAATACATCATTTAGAAGAAAACAAGCAGCATTCCGAGGTGCGGACGGTTGAGGCAGGTTGGCTACAGCACCTGAGCGAATGGCTGCAAGGTAGGGGCCTACAGTACGGTTTCCCCCGTTTGCTGGCATTTTCCTCGTACGTGGCAGATAGGGAGATCCTGTGAAGGTGGCGTCACGTATGCTTGGCCCGGAGAGCCGTCTGTCGGCAATTCACAAATGCAGCCAAAATCTCTGTTCTAGCGCTATGGCAATGGGCACATGCAGACACTTCACTGGCTCGACCCTGGATTGCAAGCACCGCCAGGTTCTTTTGCTTGGAAAGTCTCTCAGAGGCCAGACGATTCTCCGACGATGTTTAGCAAAGTGTAGCTCCCGAATTTGTTGCAACCTGCATGTCAGGCTTGCAACCAGGGGATGCTTGCGGCCTCTGTGCTGGAACAGGCCTGCAGTCAGTGTGTAGCATTGAAGTGAAAGGTTGCCATTCTCCCACGGTCTCCAGCAGTGCCAGGTAGAGGAGTACAAAGTTGAGAAATGTCTCGAGGCAGGGGCCAGTGGTGAGCCTGGTTATTGTCAGTCATTGTCAACATTTGTCAGCTGGAGTCTTGCTCCTGGCCAGGGTGTCTCACCAAAGGTAGGCACCCCTTGGGTCTTGAAGGCCGCCTGTGTGTGTGAGCATGAGCGTGAGCGTGAGCGTGACCAAAGCGGTTGCTGTGTTCGCTGCACTGGGTTCGGCCGACGATTTTGGCTCGAGCCTATGACGAAGCCCACAAGTTGGCCTTCAACTCAGCAAGGCCACCAAGCCTCACGAAGCCTGACATGTTGGCTTTGCCTCATCCAGACACTTGCTGCCAGTTATTGTCAGGATGGTGTGAGCAGCCGCTGGCGCGGATCTCTTATCCATGGACCCTGCACAGGCCGCCCGGGCCGAGACTGGAGCCGCCGCGTTATGGCAAGTTGGCATAGGATTTTGTTGGGAGGGATGTGGCACTCAGGCTGCAATGAACCCTGGCGCCCCGTGCGCCGGGGCGCAAGCTCCTGAAGCGCAGGCCTGCTCTGATGCTCTGATGCGTTCTTCCTGCTGGGCTGGTATGTAACTCTGTGCAACATCAGGCCGCAGCGCCGACGGGCTGGAGTCAAAACGGTTTTGCGCCACCTGCTGGTTGGAGTCCTCCAACTCACGACCCAAATGCAGCTTGGGGCGGCTGCCAGTATCCACCTCAAGCAGCCCAACCACCTCCTACCCAGCAACAGCAGCAACAGCCACCGCCACAGCATTTCCAACCACAGCCACAGCCCCAGATGCAGCCAATGCAGCCTCAACAGTACCAACAGTATCCCCAACCACAGCAGTACCCGCCGCACGCGTACCCTCAATATGCGCCGCAGTACGCCGCATATCCCCAACCCAGCCAGCCAGGGCCGGTGCCCGCGCAGGTGGCCCCTGCCTATCCGGCATGGCCTGGGCAAGTGCCCGGCCAGGTTCCTGGACAGGTGCCCGGGCAGGTGCCTGGACAGGTGCCCGGACAGGTGCCAGGTCAGCCAGTGCCAGCGGCAGCCCCTAATGGTTGCGGATGGAGCCTTGGACACATCAGACGGTCTTATGTCCAGTGGCGACATTCGGCGACATTTTATTTGCTTTTAATTTTAGGCCGAGCCAGTCTTCTCCCGGACGTGCCTTGAGCAAGCATTCAGCTAGCTGTCTGACGTTTTCCCGTGCCAGCAGCCTGCCCTCTTGTGTTGGCACTTTGCTGATCTGCTTGCCCAACGGGAGTGCCAGGCCCTATGTCCATAGCGGAGGCATGCGTTGCTGCCGCGAGCGGCTCTGCAGGTGAGACAGTTCAGGAGCCTTCAGCTGGTGCAATGATGAGGGACATGCAACATCATGCAACCCATGCGTTCATGTCAGGACACAGATGTCAGAGTTATTGACTATGATGAGCGTGCCTTGCCATCAATATTTAGTTCTTTTGGGCGGGAGAGCCTGTGGCGGCAAAGGCCCTCTTCCATTACACAAGTTCTGGTCTTTCGACCAGTGTGTTCCTCGCCAGCACAGAGAGATAGACAGCGCGGACTGCAGACAGGCAAATTTTGCAGAGTCTGCCTCCGAGGTCCAGTTCTTCCCGCAACAGCTGATTGACGAACTGAAGAAGTCCTTCCCCGCACCATCTCAGATTCAGGCTTTCACGTGGCCTCTGGCTCTATATGGCAAGGACACTCACTCAACTGCATCTGGCTGGGGGGAAGCCATTGGAAGTCACATGAAGCCATATTTTTGTCGACTGTCACAGTGGGCAGCGGCTCCCAGGGTAAAGAAGGTTCCGCCAAATGGAGGTGGCGTGTTCGTCCGGAAAAGCTGCGATCCTTGGTCCCTAGCCCGAGACTTGACTGTGAGGACGTAATCGGCATCGCAGCAACTGGTAGTGGAAAAACTCTGGCGAGGATCTCAGGGTTGAGTGCTGACATCGACCAAGAATCGAAATCCCCAAATCCTCAGCCACCCTCGGCTCCGAGGCGTTCCTCCTACCAGCTTTTAGCCACCATGGCGGCAACAAAAACATGTTGAACACGGTAGAAGTCAATAGAATAGTAGAACTTAGGAGCATGCCGAACGTGTGTTTTAGTGGCCTGTGAGAGTGCAGGGTCGCAGTTTTGAGCCGGCCAAGGCGACTTCCACAAGTCAGGCTTCCGCTCGTCTTGCACTGTCTTTTGCACTGTCACTATCTTGCACTCAATGCTGCGGATCGCTTCGGGCCTTTCTTGCCTTGGTAGGCTTGCAGCCACAGCGAGATGGTGTTGGGCTGGTGGTCATGTCGCCGACCCGCGAGCTTGCACAGCAAATCGAAGCTTCCGAGCGGCAGTCCACAACAGTCTTTCCGTGTTTTGGAACATTTCCAAACCAACAACGTCGAGAAGCCCGACAGTCGTGGTATCTCAGGTGGAGGCCAATCGGTTTGGCAAGTGCCTGGGCATGTGGACTGCCGCCTGTCGCACAGTCCCACCAACGTCCCATTGATGCCGTTATCGCGGCGCTTGGCATGTCCATGATGTTATTGGCAGCCCGAGGTTGCAATGTATGGAGGTGCGCCGAAGTGGGACCAAATGAAGAAGTATCAGCAAGGAGTGCATGCCATCATCGCATGCCCGGGACGTCTCAACGATTTCTTGGAGGGGAGACAGGTGCAGGCTCTTCGGCGTGACATCTTCAAGCAGAATGTTCACTTAGGGGGTTCTTGCCTCTCACCCCACTATTTCCGAATTGAGGTCAATCGCGTTCGAAAACTTGCGACTTGGATCCAACAATTCCCTGGGTCCCTGGAAGCCTTTGTACGGGTGTAAAGGGCGAAGCGAATGATTGGGGTGCATCTGTGGCACGAGGTCCTTGACGAGGCTGACCGAATGCTGGACATGGGCTTCGAGCCCCAAATTCAGAAGATACTCCAGCACATCCCCAGAAGTCGACACACGATGTTCTTCACTGCAACCTGGCCACGGGAGGCGCCAGTGACCAGTGGACGTTGCTCGCGGCGCGCTTGTTGCTCTTTGTGTTGCGTGTTGGGCCTGCCGTAGGTCCGGCAGCTTGCTGCAACGATGATGGGGCAGCCGGCCAAAGTTATGATCGGAAACCGTGATGAACTGAAAGCTAACCAGGCGCTTTTCGCCAAGTTGCTTAAGCTTCTTTATGCATAGCAAAGTCCGCCTTTCCATACTTCCGCCCGCCGCAGGACGTCACACAACAAGTTCGACTTGTTGAGGGCTCTCAGAAAAGGGCTGCTGTCCTGGATTTGCTGAAGGAAGCAGGATTGATGGAGCAAGGCCTGGGCCTTGCGCTGCGCAATGCGATGTGATGCCATGCCATGCCATGCCCCCTCAAAATCTCAAAACCCTCAAAGCCTGGGCACAGGTGCTGTTGGAAAGTGCTTGATCTTCGCGAGCACAAAGAGGATGTGTGAGGACCTGTCGCGGCAGTTATACTCCTGCGGTGTAGCCTGCTCTGCGATTCATGGGGACAAGGACCCGTGCATGCTGAGTGAAGCTCCGCCAGTGATTATGGATGATCCCAGTCACTGCGCTTCTGCGCTTCTGCGCTTGGAGGACCAACGCGAGCGAGACATGGCATTGAATGGTCTGAAGCAGGGACGTCTTCGAGTCTTGGTTGCTACGGACGTAGCAGCCCGAGGCTTGGACATCAAAGGAGTTGGCTTCACGACTGCAAGCAGAGCAGTTTCAGCACGTACCGAAGCAGACTGTAGGCCAACTTCCGTTGAGCCCCGTTGAACTTGCCCGAGGCTTGGTAATCAACTACGATGCAGCACCCTGGATGCTAAGAAAACGGTCGCTGGGTGCACACTCACACCGTACCTGATTGCGTTCGACCCATAGGGGCCCAGACGCTCCAATCGACCGTTTCAATTTCGCAAGAAGTTAAGAAGTCAGACCACCTGACCCAGGCAAACAACTCGGAGGATTACATCCATCGCATTGGGCGCACGGGGCGAGCTGGAAAGAAGGGCTATGCCATTACCTTCCTATCCTCGGAGGATAGGGGCAAAGCCTCTGGCATCATCCAGGTCGGCGGGTTTGTCAATTGGCCAGGCAGTTCTTGTGTAAGCTTTGAACTTTCACAACTAGTAAGAGCGTAGGTGCGCACTTGTGATGCCCACTTGCCTAGTATGCAAGCCCACACTATGCGTTGAACCTGCAAGCTAAAAGATCCATGCAAAAAACTCTTCTTGTGTAGAGGTGTGTAGACAGCAGCTGTTGGAGCACAACGGCTGCACGATGAAGCAGCTACAGCGAGGGCTTTCATGTTAGTATTCATGCAGGCTCAGTCCAAGAGAGAGTACCTAGCTAACCTACCCTCTGCTCAGCTGGTGTCTCGGATTGACATTGAGAGTGTGTTCGGAGTCACGTTGGCTGTTTAAGCTATGAAGGCGATGGAAAGCACAAGCCAACACATCAGCGACGAGCTACGAAGCTTCGCCAGACATGGTGGTGGCGGAGGCAAACACTACCGCGGTGGCGGTGGGAAAGGCTCCTCCAAAGGCTGCAAGTGGTGCGCCAAGGGCGAGTGCTGGACCCACGGTGACAAGTCATCGGGCCGCAATCGGAGCCGCAGCCCTCGCAGGCGGTAGCTTGGGCGATTGCCTGGGGGCTGCCAGACACTATGCCAAACAATTATTCTTCACGCGGGGTCCAATGAGCTCGCTCCACGCGCACACAGACGTTGTGGCAGTTAATCTCAAAGGCGTGACAGTCAAGTCTCGCAGCTGTCTTGACTATTCTGCTTCCTGCACAACATCGGCTTCTTCTTGCACCAAGGCAGTAGGCATTGGTTCGCAGACAGCTGGTGTAGGAGGCCCACGAGATCGAGGAGTCTGGATTGTATGTGGATGTGAAGTCGTTCGAAAAAGACGATGGAGGGCGTTGAGGGTTCCTGCTTCATTTCAAGTTTTGTGCCGTTGCTGCCGTGCTGTGTTCACGCTTCCACATGTTCTCACTAAGATAGGCAAAGTGCGCAGTCTCGGCAGGCGCACAGCAGCCTGTCCACTAGTGGTCTCAAGGAGCCTGATTGCCTTGCCGTCACTGGATTTTCGTGACCTTAGTCATGCTGGCGATTGCTGCCCCCAGCAGGTGGCGCAGGACGCAGCACGCCTGTGTGTTGTCTGCACTGACGCGGGCTTTGAGCCAAGCCTTGATGCTGTCAATGATGTGTCACCACATTCACCATGTGTCACCTGGTCAACTCCGAGGCTCGGACGGAGCAAGCTTGTGGAAGCTTTGGGCGCCCTGTGCTCAGATCTCTTGCAATCTTCGAGAAGAGTTCTACCTCAAAGAGGCTCTTTGTGGCAGTGCCGATCGTACCAGGTCTTCTCCTGACTTTCTGCCAGTTTGTATGGTGCTGAGTCGTGCTTCGAAACAAGTGCTCGTATTGCTCTCATGTTTCAGTTGGCACGAGCACAGCACGTCGGACACAATCAAGGTGGCCATTGCTACTCGATCATGGAGAGCAATGATTTATGCAAGGCCACGACGCGGCATGATGCCCTACCATGAAACATCATGGTGCAAGCAGTTTGCCGGCCGGCCTCTTCTTCCAATTCAGCTATATTCAGCTGCAGCTAAACGAGCCCACCTCCCACAAATGTAGCTGGCTGTTAGCTTCGGACCATGCAGTGCAGGGGGCCACCGTTGCTCCAGCTGCCGCGATTGGCAACATCAGGGAAGGCTGCTCGCGTTTAGTGATTCTGTTCGCAGGGGCTCCCTTGTCAGCTTCAGCACAGCTATGCACACGGCGCAGGTCGCAAATGCGAAGCCTGTGCGCAGAAGCATGGACGAGTGATCGTGACACAGGTCCAGACTGGTGCAGCCTGGTAGGGCCTTGGCAGGATGCAAGAACAAGCACGGCATGTCTCACCATAGCCATTTGGCTCCGTCAGACGTTCAACCATGGGATGGGGAAGAAGCAAAGGCGGCAAGAGCAATGGCAAGAGCAAAGACGGCAATGCAGCTGTGCCTCAGTCGTCTGGCTTCTTCGGCGGGGGTGGCTTCGTCACATGGCGGAACTTATCCTAGAGCTGCTGCATGTGAACTCAAAGCAAAGTCTAGCGGCGGCAATTCGCGCCAGTTTGGTGGGCCTGTTCTATGTTTGGTAGTTTGACATTCCAAGACACGTCGTGAGGCATCATTTGGTGTGGCTTTGGTCGCATTATCTGCACCGCGCAGTCATTTGTACATGGTTACCACGGCGTGCTTGAGCTTTCTGGTCAGCAAGCATGATGTTTCGAGCTGCCTTCGCAAACGAACAAGCTAAGGACTACATGGTGGAAAAGAATCGGAAGCTCAAAGAGCAGTTTGCAGCTGCTGCGGCTTCGGGGAGTTCAGGCGTGGCTGCAAGTCTCATTGTAGCATCTTTACGGCCTCCTTCGCTGTCTGTGCTGCATGCAGGTGATGCCGGAAAAGCGGCAATCTTTCGTGGCTTGAGCTTCTGGATGACGGGGCGCACCTGTCTGCCAGACCAAGAACTAAAACGCATCATTGTAGAGCACGGAGGTGGCTCGGAACGCTTGCAAACCCCCATGTGCTTTGCTACAGTACATGTACGTGGTGAAGCTGTCCGGCAATGTGCACCACGACTTGGACGGAATGTTGACATGTGTTGACTCTGCAGGTGTTTACGAGCAGTACGGCTTCACGCATGTTACGCACATTATCGCGGACAATTTGGCCTCGGGAAATCAGACCTGGGGAGAGCTGAAGAAGCGTGCGAAGCGCATCCACGTGGTCACATCATCCTGGGTGACAGCCTGTGTTCAAGAGGGGCGACGCCTCCAGACTGAAGTTTTCTCAACTCCGTCCTGTAGCGAAGGGTTCTCACTTAAAGGGTGGGCGTCCCGAGTTTGGATGTGTTAAGTGAAAATCATGGCCTCAGCTGTAGGTGATCGTGAGAGTCGCGGGCCGGCTGTAGTCGCGGAAACCCACGCTTTGGCATTCCGCTATCGTTGTTGCAAGGGTCGGGCGCGTCGGGATCGCTGTCGCCATTCTGTGTCGAGATGAAACACAGAGTCGTGACAAAATAGCCGCCGCGCAAGCACGAGCAGAGCAATCTGTATCAGCATTCCGGCTCGTGGCTCCTATCAGGTTTCGGTTTGTGTTGCTGTTGTCCAAGAGAGCCAGCTGAAAATGATTGATGGGTCATCTACGTTCGAGTTGTGCCCAAAGGCTCGGATTTTGAAAAGAATCCGTTCGCTACATCAGAATCTCTGCGATGCTTTCGTTCTTCGCACAATCCAGCGCCCAGCTTCAATGCAAGATTCAAATGGCTCAATACCTGGTATTGAGAAATGTGTATAAATTCTTGTGTGTGTGTGTGCAAGTGTGTATATTCAACTTGTACATGACATCTCATGTTGTAACATTTTACATACCAAAATATCCTTCAACCCTAAACCGCAATCCCTTGGCTGGCCTTTCGATTTAGAACACTGCTGTGAGTAGCCTATTGGCGTGTGTGATTTTGTGGTTCTGCTGCAACACGGTGCGCCATTTTGGAAAGTTTGAGGAAAGTTTGAGAGCTGTGGCGTACTGAGAACAACATGACTTCAGCCGCAACCCATACAGAGCAAGAATCCAGAAGCCTTGGAATTTTCACAGATATACAGCAAAATCCCTGCAATGTGGACGTACAGTTCAGCTAGGCGGGCGGCAAAAAACCAAACCAAACCCCGAAGCCTGACCCCACACTCTTCCCGACCTCGGGTCCCAGGGCCGAGATCGGGCAGGCGATGCAAATGTTAAGAGTGCGAAGGGTTAGCTTGGTGTGCGCCCTCGGCGCACGAGGGCCCGCGCAAATGGTTTTTGCTCAAGGCCTCGCATGTTGGTCGCACATCGTGCTCACGGAAATGGCGCGGGCGTGGCCGCAGAGCCAGGCCGCAGCCTGCGAGCGGGCATGTGCATCCATCGTAGATGAGAAGAATCTCTGGATGATGCCGCTCCCCAGCGTGAGGTGCGGGCAGATCGGGGAAAGAAGAGAACGCGCTACGCGCGCAAAGAGAACTCACTCTTACAATCTGTGCTGCCCTATTGGGCCTTTCCCTCTTCCCCTTTTCCCCTCTCCCCCTCTCTCTACACAAGAAGCACAGATAGCCACATTGAAAAAGGGTTACCATTACCAAGCTTTGAATATGGAGTCTAGGAGTATATAAGCTGAAGCTTGGATGCTAGCTAGAGCCACCTAGCCGGGAATGTATGGTCTCGCAACAACTGCAATGTGAAACTGGCTATATACCGTCTGGCAATGTAGTTATTGTCTTCGGAGCACTCGCAAACTATGGACAAGAAAGTAAAAGAAGATAAGCGCAAGTGCACGTGTGTGTCAGTATCGCAGTCCATAGCCCATCTCGAGCTCGTTATTGCACGTAGCCGCCCCGCCCCCGTGTCCAACAACCCGCTGAGGTGCCCCACAGCTTTTGCAGAGTTTTCTAGTTACGCGTAAATCGTACAAAGCAAATCCCTTATTATGGACAGCAATGTTGATTTTCATGGGCCTACATAGTGGTTCTGGTCGCTTCCATCTTATCAGGACTGAAAAAGTGAACGACGAGAGTTGATGTGACTGGCTATTTCAATCCTCGACGCTGCTTTTGCTGGTCGTTTTGCTATCCGCGCCTTTGGGTTCTTTGACTTTCTTTCAGAACAACAACCATTGCGAACCATGGTTCAATACGTTGTTCCCATGCCAAGGCCTGCCAGAAGCTCGCAGCTTGTCTAAGTCTAAGTAGAGAGATGGTCGCATTTGCGCTGCAGTAGCTCTCGTGGCAGACGCTTGTGAGCTTCGTGCAATTGCAATGACTGGCTTTGTGGGATGGTTTGGACATGTCCGGAGCTATGAGTCGTTCGTTCTGAGTTGCCTTCCGCTCGTTTGTTTTGAAGGGCGTGAAGCTCCGTGACGTCTGGAAAGAAGAAGTGGACGGAAGGAGGGTATCGCTTGAGGTAAAGTATGGAATTCAAAAACAGAAGTCCAGCAAGGCAACAGTCCGTTTGCAGACTCCAGATCTTGACATTGATAGCCCACACATGCTTCCAAGAATCGTTTCTCGTCATGTAGAAAACAGAACCTCAAAGCATTGGTGGGCTGCTCCGCAACTCTCACAACCAGGAAACTGGCAAACCGGACGCATGCCTTCAATTGCCACACTTGGCAAAGATGTGGCATCCAGCCAGGCTACATGCCAAAGTGTCTCTCTTCTGGATCCTCGATGCTGTCATTCGTGGACCAGCCGGCTGATGCTCGGAGACTTGGGTTCCAGTGTAGGATTTATTTGTTCATGTGTAGCTGTAAGCTTTCGCCAAACGGTATCATGATACCCGGCGCACGGATGTGCTTTGCCAAAACGCGATCGTTCAACAATGCCAGCTCCCAATGCGCAACTGAGCCAATTTCGGCCCAATCAATGTCCCTGAGTTTCGGACGTCAATGGTGGCATATCATGACAGTGGCTCGCTGTTTGGCTGATGGCGGAAGTACACCATTGCTTACCAGCGTGGATGGGGAGGACATGTCTCCGGAATGGTTGTCCACAGTCTTGAAGAAGGCAGAAAAGGAAGGGCAGCAACCTCTACCTTCGAGCACGGTGGCTTCAGTCGGCTTGGACTTGAAGACTCAGAAGCTCTGGCCGCAGTCACATTCAGCGGAGCTGCTTTTGACCCTTGACCAGTCGCCGCCTGCCCGGCTCTTCTTGAAAAAGGTTGATGCAAAGCACATGCCGGCCAAGAGTGTAGCTGCACTGCGCCGAGACTTGGAATCCAACCGGAATGAAGCGAGATGGTACAAGAATTTTTCCGCCGAACTTCTTAAGAGGGGCGTTCCTCTACTACGTTCACCGCTTGTGGATGAGCGGCTGGATTGCCTTGACAATGCTGCTGAGAGCGATCATGAAGAGGAGACCTTGCGTCAGGGAAGGATGATGTTGCTGCTGGAGTGTGTAGACCAAGCATCATATAGGCAACAATCTCCATTGACTCCACAGCAAGCAAATCAAAGTCTCAAGCTATTGGCGGGATTTCACGCGGCAGCATGGGAGGATCGTGGGTTGCTTGAGCAGGCATCTCAGACGCTGCATGCACAAGGTTGCTACTGGGCCTTGTCGCGGCGTGGCGAGGCAGAACTGCGGCAACTTCAGCCAACCTGGGCTGCATACCTGGAAGCTTTTATGTCGCATGCCCCAGACTTGCTTAGCAAGCCAAGCATTCGAAATCTTGCACAGCGGCTCGAAAACGTGGCGCCGTGGGTAGCTTCCCAGCTGCGAGCTTCCCCACACGATGACTTCGCAACCTTGGTGCACGGCGATTTTAAGGCAATGAACTTGTTTCTGCCGGTGGATGCGGCCGGTCAGCCATTACTGATTGATTTTCAGTGGACTGGTGTTGGTTACGGCATGGCGGATGTTGCCATGCATTTATCTCATTCCGTTGCTACGGAGGCCGTTCTCTCTAATGAGGAGGACATGGTGCGGATGTACCACACTGTTTTGGTCAACCTTCTGTCGCAGCGCGGTGCGGCCGCAGCTGCGGAGGCATTTTCATTTGAGACCGCAATGCACTACTACACGTTGGCTTTTTTGGATTATGCACGCATGGTCATCAGCTGTTTTTTCCGCGATGCCTCCCCGGAAAGCTTCATGGCCAGAAGCGGCAATCCGAATGTTGGGTTTGTTTATCGAAACGTCGAGGCATCTTTACAGTATATACAAATGGTTGATCGACACCTTGCAACCATGGAGGTCTGCAAGGCTGGACGCCCTGAGACAGAGCGATCACGGTCTCCGTGCTCGCGATCTGCTTCAGCTCGCTGA